ATTCTCTAACCATAGCTGAACTTTTGAGCTTTTCATCTCTTGTATTATAACCCCTTTATCCATTAATGCAAATTATTTACATTTAACGAACACATTTTAGTGGATCAACGTCTCTTTTGAATGATGCAAATGTCAAAAAATAAAAGAGAACAAAATGAAAAAGAGTTAGTGAGGTAAATCAAAATAATAGTGAAAATAAAAAATCCTACCCCACTTGATATCTACCTCACATGCTTATTATTCCTACCCGGACATGATCTCTATCCCACATGTTAATTTTGAACCAATCCTAACCGCATAAATTTCTAGTTCAAATGATTTAAACAGAAAATAAATCAGGAAATAACTCAAGATAGCCTAGGGTTTGGAATGAGGTTTTGGGGTGGCCTCTAACTCCTTGTAGTCCCCCGATTTAGATTCTAAAAAGGTACCCGAGTTCTCCTTGCTGGTGCCACCTTGGGCTTGCCAGACCCTTAGTCCTAAGCCCATTACAAGCTTATGTGGACTAAGTTAAACTTGAGAGGATACATTCCCTTATGCCCATACGGAGAATAAATTCACACGAAAGCATAAGGTATGTGAATCTCGAAGGTTACTTGTTAGGCCCATACGGTGAATAAATTATCACGAGAGCGTCGCTTTCACCCCCACTTAAAAGGGTTCGAAGCTCGGGTATAGAGCCAGAGATGAAAATTTTGAAAAATCTGAAATCATTGAGAAAAACGTCAATACAACTATTTATTTGAAAAAAAATAATCAAAGATAAATAATTGGAATCGAATAAATAAATTAGAATTTAAACTTGTAATTTTTGCTAAAAAGACAACCAGAAATTAACTTCGGCCTGACTCATTTACCTGTCCCCAGCAGAGTCGCCAAGCTGTCGCGGCCGTCTTTCGGGTGGGCCCGAAATTGGGCTTCTACTTGAATGAATTGGGTTAGAGTCGCCACCGATCACTTTAAAAAAACATTTAGGTGGATCGGACACCATCTTGCCTGATCTGCGTTTTACCATAAATGTGTCGGGTTCGGGAGTCGGTTACAGTCAAGGAAGTATTAGCACCCTTGAATTGCCCTTTTGGTACCAACTAATTTTTCGGTTGTCTTAATTGATAAAAATTAAAAATTAAAATTTAAAAACTCGATTCGAATTACTTACCTTCGATTGATTGATTTAAAAACTCGATTCGAATTACTCACCTTCGATTGATTGAAATTACCACTGAAAATGTCGAAAAATGTCAGATGATAAAATAATAAAATAAAAATGAATACGAAGGAAAAAAAAAGAAAAGTTATATATATATATACACATACACATTAATATAATAATAAAATAAAATAAATGACAAATATAAACAAAAGTTAGTAAAAAAAGAAATAGAAAATAATAAAATAAAAAATAATAAGAAGGTTAGTTTAAAAAAAAAGGAAAAAATAAATAAAAAATGAACTAAAACAAAAAGAAAATAAAAAAGGATTAAATAATATAAAATATATACAATAGAAAAAGAAAAAATGAAAAAAATAAAATATATAACACAAAAGTAGTATCAATTAAATAAAAAAATATAAAATATAAAAAGGACTAAATTGAAATAATAACAAAATAGATGGTGAAATTAAGAGGAATTATGAGTAAAAAATTAAAATTAGGGGTCCAAATGAAATAATTACAAAGTAGGGGGACCAACAACATAATTTACCCTTTTTATTAAAAAAACGGATCCTTCTCCCCCGGGTCGAGTCGAAGCGCGGGTCAGCAACGGGTCGATGGGTTATATAAAACCCAAAAATTCCCCAAAACCCTCATTTTTCCCCTTATTCAAATCTCTCATCCTCTCAACTCTCTCAAGCTATCTCTCACCCAGGCAATAACCGGGCCCTCCGCCGCTAGCCGCCGTCGGAAATCGCTCCGGCCACTACCCGCGGTGGCCGGTAAAACCCAAAATTTCCCTAAATGTTCTTCTCGTCACGCCGAACCCAAAATCGAAGCTCAAATCGCCTAAAATCGCCCTGAACTACGTAGATCTAGCCCGATAGATTCGGGTTTTACCTTCTCTCGATGTCCTTTCGGCTTCCTGGCGAGCTTTCCCCTTTTTAGTCTCTAATGCCTTTTGTATGGTGGGCTTTGGTTGGTTTTTTGTGGTGTTGTATTTGTTTTTTTGCTCTCTATGTTTTCTGTTACTTTGATGTTGCTTCGTTGTTTTTGTGGCTCCTGGCGTTGGTTGGCTTGTGGTTCCTCTGTTGTTCTGGTTGTTCGATCCTGTTGTTATTGGTTGTGTTCTCTGTTGATTCGTTTCGACTGTGTTTGGTCCCCTTGGTTTGATCTGTGGTGGGTTATTTATACCCACCACGGTGCTGGTCAGTTCCGATTGCCGTGGTAACAAACCCATCGTTGGCCGAGGATTTCGAGATGGGTCAATCCTGATTTCCTCGGCCGAAAATCTTGCACCGTTGTGACTGTTGGCGCTCATGCTTCTGGAACTTCCTTGACTTGATCTCGACCGTTGGATTGGGTCAGATCCAACGGTCTGGATCCGGCTGCGCATTGGAGGGTTAGACAAACCCTAGTTGTCTTGTAATCCTGGCCATTGATCCTCATCCCGATCTAACAGTTTCATATTGTGCGACGCTGGTCCTAAGCGTGAAACCCTAGTCCCTGTTGGGCTGGTGCAGACCCCCTTAGCCGATGTTGGACTCGAACAGTTTTGGGCTCTTGCCTGTTTTAGACATATTAGACCCTGGACTTGGACATGAGAAAAAACAAAAGAATAAAATAAATAAAAACGAAAAAAGTAAAATAAAATAAAACAAATAATAAAAATAAATATATATTATATATATTCTAAAAATGTTTCCAAAATTTCAAAAACATTTTCAAACTATATATTATACATATTTAATATATATATATATATATATATATATATTCTAAAAAAAATATTTTTTTAAAAACTATATATTATATAAGTTTTCAAAAATGATTTTAAAACCTATATATTATATATATTTTCCAAAATGTTTTAAAACTATATATTATATATGTATTTTCAAAAATCATTTACAAAACTATATATATATATATATATATATATATATATAGACAAAAATGAGTGTCTACGGTTTATGATGCTGGCTTCTCTTGTATGAGGTTTTAACTAGAAGTTGTTCAAAATTTCAAGTAATTTTTTAATTGTAAGTGGTGTTACTTTAACAACTCGACTGAGAAGAAAAATAATGGAATAAGAGAAAGAATATTGTTTTCGTGGAGAAGAAAAAAATATTAATAAAGATTCTAAAAATAATTTCTAAACTTAAGTTTAATTTTATTTTAATATGTATTAACGAGTAGACTTATTTGAAAAATAGAATCCACATATATAAATGAAATGAAAAAAATATTAATGTTTGATAAAAAAAATTCCATAAAATAATTTCTTCACACCTGCATGCCTTTCCACACACTAAGTGCAGGTCAATAATGTCATTCATGGATCATTCAACAAGGGATCACGCATGAATTGTCCGTAGATTTTGCCGTCTCATGGTGGCAAGGTAATATTTGAGAACTAAAGACCTTGCCCGCAGCAGCTGGAGAGGTACCAGCCACACCTGCATGTCCCTATCACATTGCATGCATGCATATGGATAAATACAAAATTTTATATTTAAAGAATAAATTTATAAAATTTTAGAAAAAAAAAAAACGAATTTATAAAATTTTAGAAAAAAAACGAATTTATAAAATTTTAAGAGATAAAAATAAAATATTAATAAAAAAATATACAATATAACGGAATTTAAATTTTTTTTTAAAAAATATTGTTCTCATCCATCCGTCTTGGTCCACCACATGCATGTTGATTATGTCATTCATTGGTGAATCAATATGGAATCTTACGTAAATTGACTTCTATTAACCAACGTCATTTCTTAATACTTGCTACTGTAAAATCAACAATTAATTAATGTTTGAAGCTCAATAGATTTTAGGGAATTGAATTTTTTTGTGTCTGAAAAAAACCCCCTAATTATGTGTGATAAGAGTAAAGGAACAAAACAAATGGGAGAATGGCAGATGGCGAAAAGGAATCGGCTTGGAAAAGATGAGGAAGTAGCGGCCCATATTATCCCTAAACATTCACAAGCAATAATGAAAGTGCAGTTTGGGCCTCTCCTGAATCTAAATTTCAAATGGCATCCGCTTTTGCTTTTGGTGGTGGAACATCATCTTCTTTCTTACTCCCAAACACCCACAGACCTAAACATTCAAAGCTCCGTTACCCTTTGACTGCTCCCAAGATAAGATCTGAAAGCATGAGCACTGAGAAACTCGGCATCAAAGTCGAAACCAACCCTCCTGAATCCAAACTCTCCCAGCTTGGCGTGCGCCAGTGGCCCAAGTATGTCACTCAAACCCCTTTATTCAATCCATATTTTGATTGGTTTTCATTTTTGTCCAAGCTTTAGTAGCACTTATCCATGGATGATTCTTAATTGAAGATGTCATTTTGAATGGGTTTTGGAAAAAATTTTGAACAGGTGGGATTGTCCTCCTAGTAAATTTCCATGGACGTATAGCTCAAAAGAGACGTGTATCTGCTGGAAGGGAAAGTAAAGGTGTACCCAGATGGTAGCAATGACTTTGTGGAGATTGGTGCTGGCGATTTGGTTGAGTTTCCTAAAGGGATGAGTTGCAATTGGGATGTTTCAGCAGCTGTTGACAAACACTATAGATTTGAATGACTGCTTTCTTCTTCTCTATTGTCTTTATCAAATAAATTCAAGTGCTTGGCTGATGTATGCCAAGTTTGAATATGATTCCTCCCCAGTACTTTGAACTAAGTTCATATCAATTACCAAATATGAACCTATTCTATATGCTTCAATTTGGATCAAATTTATCAAGAAAAAAATAATAGTAAGGTATTTCTGAATACATAAAAATGAATTGTTGCCAATGCATCCAAAGAGAATACATGCATTAATTCCCTCCAACAGTTTCTATACAAAAGTAATGCTCTAAAAGCGAACTTAAGTGCAATTTATGTTTACTTTTATTATTCAATTGTCCTCACTGGGATCAAGACAGCAAGTTTACACAGCAAACAGACCACTCATTAAAAATGATAAATATTTCTCAAGCCTAAGGCGTCGTCAATGCTGCAATGGGAAATACTAACAAAGATATGCGCAGCAATATTTGTTTTCCTTATTTTACTCCAACTCAGCAGTCTTTTCCCCAGTCAAACTCTGGAACCCCAAACCAACATTAGCACTGATGGTTTAGCGCCTAACAATATGGCAAAACAGAACAACTTCATACAGACTGAAGAAGATTCAAAACAGATTTCCGGTTGGGCATGCTAGGCATGGCTCCTTTCATTTGAACACAAAGAGAGGCTGCTGCAGCTGCGTAATTGGTTAAACAAAATATATGTGAGGACCAGATCCTTGGTGAAGTTATTACGCAAAGGTCATGGTCTAGATACATATATATATACGCTAAACTGAGAGGGAGAGAGAGAGGAATACCAGCAAATCTCAAGCATTCTTTCTTGGACTTTCCCTCTAATAAAGCCACAGCAAAGGATGCAGTAAAAGTATCACCAGCTCCTGTTGTATCTACAACTTGTGCAGCAGGAATGATTGACTGTCTAATCGGTTTCTCACCTTCTACGAATAAAGCAGATCCCTTGGCCCCAAGTTTTACAAGAACTTGCTTAACACCCTGAAATGTTTTCACATTTAACTTCTAGTAAAATCTTGGTATCTGCCTAGAGAATCAAATAATTTCCATAAAAAGCTTGTTCACTACTGAAGGCCAGTTATTTTAGTTACAACTAGAAATGATCAGTCAGTCCCTATGTCTCCCTGTTGCATGAAGAGACTTTACAGCTGATGGGGCGTTTCATACGTAAAATCAGTCAATGAGACATTTGAAGATCCCAATGCAAAGAACCTAATTCAGTGTCTATTTCTACAAAATGTGTTTGGATGTTCAGCATGGTAGGCCACATGTTTGAATTAGTAATAGGAGCAAGTTGTTTCCAATGCTGAACGGTTGTGACATTTTATTATAAAAAAGCTTGTATTTTTAGAAGTTCTATTAACTAATAACTTCATGTCACATCATATATTCCAGTTTTAAAAAAAATGCCAAACGAAGGCCCTGCTTAGGTGTGGAAAAACTCACCATTTTGTGACATTTCCCAGCAGCTTGACTAATCTGCTCAAAATTTTCAGTAGGTATTCCCGTCAATCGACCAAGTTCAGATTCATTTGGGCTAAAGATATCAACAAAGTTCAAAAGTTCTTGCGGCATTGGTGCATCCATTCCGCCAGCATCCATAATTACAGTAACACCAGCACTCTTTGCAGTCTGAAAGGTTAAAATGCCAATTTACGAAAATTTGATGCAAAAGAAAGCTTGCAAGTGCAAGAGAAAGAACTAGTAAACTCTACCATGTAAAGTCCATCTCAGTGAACCCAAAAAAAAAATACTAGAAAACTCATTGGATAAAATTGAACTGAGAAATCATTAAACTAATCACCGAAAAAATTACCAACTTCATCTTTCAATTAGATCAACAGGACTTTACTGTCAATGCAGAACAGAAGACCTTAGCTTTTGGCTTCTAAAGAGGATAATATTTATCTCACCTCACCAGCCTACCAATGCAGCAGTCACAGTATTAACAATAATCTCTTCAACTTTGAATTGAGATAATCAACACAAATAGATCAAGGTAGACTTCTCTTTGGAACCAAATCACTTTCCTTTCAAACCAAAGAACCCTAAACAAGTACTCAATCATCTCCAATTAACGACAACAGTCCCCAATATCGTTTCTCTAAAATAAAGCCTACTTTTGAGGTTGTTATCCTGAAATTCCAGCAATTAGATCTTTGAAGCATGCCACTGTTAAAAAACCATGATTCCAAACCTCACATCACATTAAATTAAAATAGAAAAGCATCAATGCAACTGAAACTATTGTTCTCATAAACTATTGGTGCCTTCTCAATTTAGTAATTATTGAAGTTAACTTTCGTGTTCCAGGTTTCATGTGATATTTGAACTTGAACTGATGATACAGGCAAGTTCCACATATTGTTCTCATGACCCTTCCCATATTTTTGGTTGGCCAATATGCATGATTTTCTTGTGGTCCCATGTCTATTATTGAATACTCAAATATCAAGAGGTAGAGAGTATGAAGCAGAACTAATGAAAAAAACTTAAAAATATAAGAAACTGAAGATAGATTAAATTAGGACACCTTTTATTTGCCTAACGCCTTTAAAAAGGCACATTTAAATGCACCTTATCAAATGCGATTCGCCTGAAAGGATCTAAGGCACTTTCTTTGTGTAAGTATAGACACACTAGAATAGACATGTCAAGTTTAGATTTCATTATGCAGATCAAACATTTTATGTGTGATTTTGATAGTTAAAAGTTAAAGCTATTTGGAGTCCCTTCTATTTTTGTATTATTACCTGATAGGAAACACTTAGAGGGCCATATTAAAATTGTATTATACCTCAAAAACATTTCAAATATGAAAGAAATGTTCAAGACTCAAAGCTTAGCCAGAGCACTCTCTAAGGCATAGGGAAACACAACAATTCGAAACTCAGAGTGAACCATGTAGAAGATCCTCATTGCACAAGTTCACAATAAAGTTTCTAAGAATGATCTTAAGCAGGAAAGAAATAAACAGCAGTACAGCACATCAAAAAAACAATAATGTTTCACTAAGCTTTGTTAATAGAAAGCCTCTAGAGATTTCTAAGCACTCGTGATACTGCTTGAAAGCAGATACATATCACTTAATACAGAGTAATACAGAGTAATCAATTATTCAATTCGCAACCTGAAGTTAAGAATCATTAAATGGCATCTTCCTTCTTCAAAGCTTTTCAATTGATCTAAAGCAAAACGCTAAAAGCGAAAGGGCTTAAAGGTTGATTTTAATTAGTGTGACAAGCATCATCTTTGTATAGGATTTCCTCAATTCGAATGTTACTTTTCACCAGTCGTAAACTTATCTTTAACGTCAGAAAACAACAATCTCAGGCAAAATATTCGAAGAATATATTAAAAACACTAAGCTATATTAATTTAGGTAGGCAATTGACAAAAAAAACATATATATTGTAATAAACTACATACGTAACACTAACATCAAGAGGCTAACAAGATGAAACTTAGCATAGCTTTTATAATTGCAGAAACTTCCTATAGTTCCTTAGAGATCATAAAAGCCCAAATGTTAATCAAACGGGTGCTGTGTAACTCTTTCAAGCTTAAAAGCATCTTCCTTTACACCAAATTCTCAAATCATCCATAGTAGTTCTAGTTTAGTTAACAGAGTTGACGCTCTAAGCATGAAAGAAACCACTCGCTATTTAATTATGGATTCAAAATTTATGCTAAAACAATTCTATTAGAAAAAGAAAAGACACAGAGACATAAATTTCAGATAACAAAAGATCCCAAGTCCTAACCTTGGCGACTTGAATGTTAACATAATCAGGAATTTCCCTCTGAAGCAAAACAATGCCAGCCTTCTTAACAACATCCAAGTCCTGATCAGAAAACTGCTCAGGCCAAGAACTCATATTAGCGCCACCAACAATGATAATGGAATTCTGCCCATCAGACTGCAACATCACCACTGCGTGACCAGTAGGCACACCGCCAGCCAAAAGCTTCAAATAATCCAAACGGACCCCACCGCTTCCCAAAGCCTGAGTAATCAATTTCCCATGCGCATCGTCGCCTACTTGTCCTACAAAGTATGTTGGGTAGGAGAGTTTGGCACCACAGGTGGCCTGGTTGGCCCCTTTGCCCCCTGCAAGAGTTTGGCCATTTTTGGCTGAAATGGTCTCTCCTTCGGCGGGTAATCTGTCAATTTCCACATAGATGTCTGCATTTGCTGAGCCGACTACGACCAAAGGCGGGGATTGGGTTATTGGGGTGTGGGTGGATTCGGTTGAGTTGATGGAGAACGAGAGAAGTGGCTTGCTTTGGGGATTGGAGAATCGAAATGAGATTTGGGTTAGGGTTTGGAGATGTGGAGTTTGATTAGCATGGATTTTGGAGTAGGGATTGACATTGAACTTGAAAGCTTTTGATGGGGAAAAGGCTATTCCCTCCATCTTTCTTTCTTCCTTTTAACTGTTTGACTTTTCTTTCCGCCTGTAAGCTATAATCGCTGAACTGAGTTCTTTTTGGATTTAAATACAATACGTGCAAATATCATGTTTCTTCGATGCCGTGATCCAACGTATTTTAGTTAAACTACACTTCCACACCAATTCTAATAAAATTGGTGTATTTTAAATACTTGCAAACATCGTATTTCTTTTATGTATTTAAGGTTAATATGATATTTTAATAATATTTTTAATAAAAATATTAATTATTATACTATTAATAATATACCTTTTAATATTTTTAATAATGTTATATTTTAAATATTATAGTTATATACTCATTTATACTATAGTAATATATTATACTATATTCTTATTTTAATAAATTATTCATAGAATTTATATTATATATTAATTTTCTAAAATTAATATTATTGAATCATTAAAAATTAATAATATTATTCATGTAGTTGATATTAATATAATAGTTTAATCATATTTAAAAAAAATACTTAAAATATATTTATTAAAAAATAAAAATATATAATATTTTTATTTTAATAAATATTAAATATAATTTATAATAATTTTATTTTAATAGAATGTATTAATCTAAATATTTTTAATTATAAAATTGAAAAAATAATATTTTAATAATAATATTGACATAAATAATACTAAATAAATTATTTTAATAATTTTAAAATAGTAATATTAAATATTTATAATAAATAATATTATTTATTATTTTTCATATTTGTAATAAATAGTTTCTAGAAAATTTATCAATAAAAAATATTTTACACAACATCTTTCAAAAAACTGTACAAAATTTAAAAAAAATATTTTTAAGAAGATATAATTCATTTTCCAGTATTTTTTTTCTACAAAAATTTTGGATTGTTTTCTTTACTTTTTGAAGTTTATAAAAGACTTAATTATTTTTTTTTTGGACAAAATGAAAGGTTTGTCCTTTTATTAATGCAACCCAACTGTTCACCAATAAAGAGCTAAAGAAACAAAACACTCAAATATGTCTAAAACAGACAGTGGAAAACAAAACGTCTCAAACAAATAAAACAAAATTCAGATTAAAATAAAACGGCTATCCAGATCCATTGTTGCATCAGAGTATCACGATGAAGAAGAACAATAAGGAGAGTAGGAACTATATAGATCCTAGAACCACATCCCCCAAGAGAACCCCCGAAGGCTAGGGAGGGTCAAGACAGCATCTGTCTTCATCAAGTTGAAGTTGTACTCGCAGTGGAACTTCCTCGACCAAAAGAGATCATCCTTGCCAATCGAAGAGTCAGTGTCAAGGAGATGCGCTGCAGTGTTGGCCATGCGAGGAGTAAACCGAAAATCCCAAGCATATAAAGATAGGGTTTTTTTTAGCTTCCCTTGTGTACGAGCTGATATCTGGCCGATCAAGGGCTGACGAAGCAATTTTGGAGACCACCGGTCTTGTATCACCTTCAAAAAAACACTCGCAGAAAACCTGAATCGATTGCCAACTTAATCACGTGAACAGCCGTCCGGACCTCCGCCACGAAAGCTGAGGTAACTCCATTTTTCGACACGCACCTAACACGAATCCATTGCAATCTCGTAAAATAACCGCTGAACACGAAATGTTTTTGGATTGTACGGAGCATCAAAATTTGCTTTAACAAACGGCCGCGAGGGAGGGATTCAATGAATTGAGTTCATCGGAGCAACAATAGGTAGATAGGAGTTAGCCGACTCATATTCACCACAAAGAGCCTTGATAAAGGTAAAAATATATGAATGTCAGGTCCTCAAAATATGATCGATTAGGTTCGAAACCATAGTGATTCCATCCACAGTAGGAGACACATATATCACCGGGGAGTTCATGGGAGCCAAAAATTGTTCTAAACAAAAATTGACATTCTAGTACCCACCTTCCAACGCAGACCTTTCTCCAGCAAGCCCCTCATACTCCAGATGCTTCGCTATATATAAGAAGGATTAGATCCTAAACGGTTATAAAGAAAATCCATAGAGTTGTAATATTTAGCATGATAAAGCTAACTAACCAACGAGTCAAGTCATGTGAGTAACCGTCAGCACTGCTTGGCGAGAAGGGCTATATTAAATTTTGATAAGATCCAAAAACTAAGTCCCCTGTGATCCTTAAGGGAACCCAAAGTCTCCCAATTACACGAATGGATACCTCGCCTCGTTCTCAAACGACGCCACCAAAATTGAGTCATGATCCCTTCGAGTTCTACACATAAGCCCTTGGGCAGGAGAAAGTAACTCATTGCATATATTGGGATGGCCTACAAAACAGATTTCACTAAAAACTCTTTACCTTCATGGGACAACAACTTTGAACTCCAAGAATTAATTCTTGAGTGAAATTTGTCCTCCAAGTGAAGAAAAGCCTTTCTCTTATTGCGCCCTACTATATACGGCAAACCTAAGCATTTTTTAAGATTAGAAGAGTTACTAGCCCCTAGAATACGTTGAACGTCAATCTAATTTTCTTCAATTACATCGGAGCTAAAGAATATTCCCGACTTTTCAAAATTTTCTCTTGACCTGAACTCCTTTCATAGATCGCGGGGACGCTTTTTAGATCAGAGGCCACTCTGGCCGTAGCCTCGCCGAAGATTAAACTGACATCAGCAAACAACAGATGCGTAATAGTTAAGGCATACCGGTTGAGTCGAACACAACGATGAAAGACCCTCACTACAGATCAAAAACAGATAGGGGCTCAATGGACAACCCTAACAAAGGCCACGCTCTGGTAGAAAGAATTCCCCCACTACATCATTAACAATTACCGAGGGGGAGGCAGAATATACGCATCTTTTCAGGAAAGCAATCCATTCAAGAGAGAAACCCATATGTTCCATAACTAACAAGACCTAAGCCCACTCGACCCTATCATAAGCCTTATGTCGAGTTTTAGTGCAAAGTAACCCTTCTGTCCCTATCGCTTGTTCAAGAATGAATGAAGTAACTCATAAGTCACCATAACATTATCTGAAATGAGTTTTCCTGAAAAAAATGCTCTATGCTTCATCAACACACTAGAGAAGGTGGCATTGCATTTTATTAACCAATTTCTTGGAAACTATCTTATAGATGACTTTTCACAAACTGATTGACCGAAAGTAAAATAAATAGGATGATGCTCACACCTTAGAAATCAGAACAATGTAAGTATCATTAACCCGACGGAGATCAGTGCGCCCATAAATCAAACTAATAAAAAAATTAGTCTGATATAACAATTCACCCAACCCATCAGCATTGCGTGCCTTCGTTGGATTCATTGATCAAGTCGCACAATGAACATCTTCTGGAGTGAACTCCCCCAGTAGAGCTCTGTTGATGTCCTCCTGTAATACAATGCCTAGTACCGCAAGAAGTACACGATCCACCTCAATCAAATTAGATTTGAAGAGGGTTTGAAAGTAAACCTTCATTAATTTTTCAAGCTCAACTTTGCCTTCAACATGATCCCCCGGATCCAAAACCGGAAAGGAAATACGATTTTGACGTTTGCGCTGGGAAGCAACACGATTAAAAAAACTAGTGTTATTGTCTCTGTTCTATACTCAATTCACACATGCCCGTTCTTTCAAATACAATTCGAACTTATCAATCCCCAAATTTAAATGAAGCTTCGTGTAGGTGATCTCATTCAAAATCTCACTCGAAGAAACTTTTCCAATTAAATCAGGTAGGCATTTTCGTAAATCAGTTTTAGTCCAACGTCTCTTAGAACAAATGTCGTGAAACCACTTATCAAGCCTTCGGCGAACATTGTCAAGTTTGTCCAAAATGGACATGGCAGGAAGGCTCCATAGGCATCTAACCTTCATCTCACAAGTGTCCTCAAACAACCAAGCAACTTCAAATCTGAAATGCCACTTATGATGCACAGACTTAAAGCTAGTAATGTTAAGCAATAGAGGGTAGTGGTCTGAGATAGAATGGGTCAAATACGTCATACTGTAATTCGGTAACAGGGTACCCCACTCATCATTTGCCACACCCCGATCAAGATGCTCCTTAATATTTGTCTCAACATGTTGACCTTTCTCCCAAGTGAACCAAGGACTTATAAACCCCAAATCTACTATACTACAATATGCAAGAGCATATCAAATATCAATCATTTGCCTTTCATTATGAATTGAGCCCTCTTGCTTTTCAGTCAAAAGAAGGATCTAGTTCAAATTATCGATAACCATCCATGAAATTGACATCCAATCATCCAACCAACGTAACAAGTGCCACGATTCATGTCGACACCCCTCCGCAGGAGCCTCATAAAACCCTGTGTAGCATCATATCTGAATAAAAGAGATTTTAATAGTAAAATCAATGTGAAAGGAAGAGTAATATCTTACAACAATATTACACGAATTATACAAAGCTAAACTAAGCCCACCACTCCTTTCACAAGTATCAATGTCAATGCCCGCTTTAAAACCTCATTAACTATGAATACGAGCTATTCCTAGACCCTGAACCTTTGTATCCATCAGAAACACTACGTCAGGCTTAAAATCCTTCAATAAGTACCGAAGGTGACGAACTTCCCCAGGTTGCACTAGACCCCGGACATTCCAAGTTACTATTTTCATTGTGCCCGGTGAGCTTGATCTGACAGGTTGATCGATTCAACATTGTATGTGGCATAGGAATTCTGAAGCCGCCTCTTAGATCCATCACTCTTTCCTGTAGGGTTGTTTTCATTCTCAATACAATTCTCTATGTCATCATTTGTTATAGGAAGGCTACCGAAACCACTTCGTGTTACACCAAGCATAAAGCGAGCAAAAACCTACTCTTTCGCTGATAATTACTCATGATTACCCTTTGTTTGTCCATCTATGCTCGTCAAAGGTAGAGAACAACCAATAGTAAGAGAGTCAAAAGTAATGTTTCCAGCATCCTGGCCATGCCTTGAAACAACAATCTCTTAAGGGTCCTCACGGAGCCAAGGGCTGCTCGAACCCTTCCCATGCAGGGTGTCTGTAGAGAGACGTCCTACTCT